TCAGCGTAGCTCCCCATCAGTTGCCACAGGTTGTAAAAAACGAACTTCCACTTCTTCTTCTTCTTCTGTTTTAAAAGTGATGCGCTCTTCTTCTTTTTTGTGTTTTAATGGCAGCTAACATCCAAAAGGATAATTTACCGCCCTTCTAGTGGTGCGCTCTGTTCCTTATCTTTATGTTATCAGCAGCGCAACCAGCTACCGTAATACCTATTTTTGCGCGCAACAGCTCTACCGTAATAACAGTCTACACGCAACATTTTTCGCCTCGGTAAAATCGGGGACATTTCCGGGGACAGCTTTAGCCGGGGACAGGTGGTCCAAAACGGGGACAGTCCCCGGAAATCGGGGACGTCTGGTCACCCTAATGTAGAGCTATTGAGGGAGAACACATAACACTAAGCTAGATTTACATATTGCCTACCTACCTACCAACAAGCTACCTGACTTAAAACACACCTGACACGCCTACTTGGTTGGAAATGTGTTTCCATGCTACTGCTTTCCTCCCGATGTCCCTGTACAGTCGCAAACTTGTGTTATATAGTTCGGGGAATTCAGACACACACAGTATCAGCTTTTCCTCCATTTTGCTTCCTGGTCTTTCCAGCCGATGGCCCGGTTTCTATTGACCACGCGTGCATTCGTCACGGCGCACCGCGGTCAAAGTTCAACATAGTTCAACTTTGACCTGTCCTGCGCGCGAGCTCGCGAAGCGGTGCGCTGTGCTTGCGCTTTGCTCGACGCAGCGATAAACCGCCCTGGCGCGGCGCAAGCCATTGAAAAGAATGGGTTTCACAGCGCAGCAGTGCGGTCGTCTCAGCCTGTCTGAAAGGCCCTTCATGCACACCCCATCAACTAAAGTCTTACAAATATATATATACAAATACAAATCTATATATACAAGTACAATTTTTTTTCCACCTGGGCTGTAAAGCAGTGTGCTATAGTAGTAAACCTGTTATCATGTATTCTCCTTTTGAGACTTGTTTTATAAGAAAAAAAAAAAAAAAACCTACCCATTTTTCATGTCTTTGGTCATACCAGGCCAGTATAACCTCTTGGTGATCGCCTCTCTTGTTTTAACAATGCCACAGCGGGCACCAAAAGGACTGGCATGGAATTCTTTAAATATTTGTTCCACTTCCTCTGTTAAGGTTACTACCTTTCGTTTTGAATCACTGCGTCCTTTGTAGTAATACAAGACTCCATCTGTAGAAATATTACATGTTAAAACACACACGTGCGTGCGCGCGCACGCACACCCCCACACACGGAATATTTAAAGTTATATATTCGTAACGGGCTACTCGAAAAATTTTACTGGAAATGGTCTCAAAGAAGGTAGTTGTCTCAAATTAGGTAAAGAGAAGACTAAAGGATTTTTCCCCGCTTAACCCTTGTGCGTGCGAGGACTGAGGCAAACGTGGAGGACTATGGCAAACGATCCAAGTTTTACGGGTGTGTGGTCGGTAGGACCTCATTACTAAAAAAAAAAAAGTTAATTTTAAGAAAACATATACTCACCGTTAACTGCGAAGTCAACTGCCCTCCGCCTTATCTTGTATTTTTGAGTTTTAGAAGAGCCTTCAGGGTAGCTTCCAAAGGATAGATAGTGTAAAACATTGCCAAATATTAACGGGTCCATTTCTTGCAACTTTTCTCAATGTCGCGCAGTTTTTGAAGAAGAGCTAATTGGTCACAAAGACAGTATGCAGCTGTGCCAGTGTCAATCGATGTGAATGCACTTGGTTAATTAACCAGTTTATACTAGAGAAAGATTTTGGCGCAATCTCACGCCAAAATCCCAGCATTCCCCCACTGTAAAACAAGGGGAACGTTATCTGATGGGTGGTTTTAACATAGCGGGAACGTTATCTGATGGGTGAAATATGGCCATCAGATAGCGTTCCCCCACTGTAAAACAAGGGGAAACGGTATCTGATGGGTGAAATGTGGCCATCAGATAGCGTTCCCCCACTGTAAAACAAGGGGAAACGTTATCTGATGGGTGAAATGTGGCCATCAGATAGTGTTCCCCCACTGTAAAACAAGGGGAAACGGTATCTGATGGGTGAAATGTGGCCATCAGATAGCGTTCCCCCACTGTAAAACAAGGGGAAACTGTATTTTTTGGGTGAAATATGGCCATCAGATAGGGTTCCCCCACTGTAAAACAAGGGGAAACCTTATCAGATGGGTAAAATATGGCCATCAGATAGCGTTCCCCCACTGTAAAACAAGGGGAAAGTTATCTGATGGGTGATTTTCAGTCATCAGATACCGTTCCCTCACTTTACCACAGGGTGAACTGTATCTGATGGGTAATATTGAGCATTAAAATGCATTGCCCTGTTTTTATTTCATATGCATATATTTATAAATGTATAATAATTATAATATATGTGACAGATATGTATTTATCATTACTATTATGTATTCTTCTTCTTAATAATAATAATAATAGTACTAGTAGTAGTAGTTAGTAGTAGTAGTAGTAGTAGTTTCGCGCAAAAACGTGAAGAAATTGTGACAACTTTGCCGAAACATGTTGTTTGAGCTTTCACGGTGTCCGTAGTTCCTCAGACAAGCGCGCTGAACAAGCGCGTGCTTGTCATGCGCGTGCTTTCTCACCCCAGGCTCCCACCGACTCCGGTCTGACGTTGCGGTGCGGTGGGTGCGGCGCCGCAGTGATTCCAAGTCATTAAAAAGACGTAAACCTCTCTCACCGGCTGCTGAGCTGTCCGGCTGCGGTTATCGAGACACTCCGGCGCTGCAGAAAATTCCGCAAGAAAGCTATCCTTGCGCCGTGCCGGAGCCCTCCGCAACAAACTCTCGCAAATATCCTTATTTGGGCCGTGTTATCGTGTGAAGTTACGTGAACTCAAGTGAACTTCTGTTAAATCTCCGGACCTGTTGCCGGAGCCGCAGAGCCGCAGAGCCGCACCGCACCGTAGTCAAAAGGGTGGTGTGAGAGGGGGTGTGCGGGAGTTGCGGTCTCCGTCGGCTCGGTAACCGCACCATAGCCAGTGTGAGCAAGGGGTTAGTGCTCATCATGAGCACGCGCATATTTTGCCGCGTGGGCGGGGCGGAGCGGCAAGACGACGCAGGGGGAACCGTATCTGATGGGGAAACGCGGATTGACGTAAACAAATTTAGCCACGCCCACCTCCCCCCAACCGACATCACCTGTTAGACGAAGAAGGTTGTTGAAAACGCGAGACTCCGCAACAATGGTAAGTTAATTTCTTACTTTTACCGCGAAGCAAAAGATGTCTGGCTTTCATATGCTTGTCAGCAATGTATCGCTGTAGCGTTATATGTAATGTACGTGCGGTTACTGAATGTTACAGTGTGTTGAAATACTGTACAGGTTTAATTGTTTGGAGGTGGTAAACAAACGCACGAGGTCACGAACGAGTATGCTTGGCTTCATAAAAGTTTAACTTATTGTAGTTAGCGTAGTTTTTGTTATTTGTTATTTGCATTGCTTTAGATTCAACACAGAGTCAGGTCGATGCTATGCTCGTTTCAGTTTACTGTAGACAAACAGACTGCAGTTTTGCAGCCAGACCTCTCTCGACTGCTCAGCATGCATCAAGTTGCAGGCCTGGGCTCAAACAAATTCTTACAGTTTAGCATTGTGTGAAGATGAGATGTTGTCAACTGATTCGTTTGATAAATGCGATTTTATATGTGATTGTGATTGAAAGAACAAATGTCTCATCATCAGGATTTGCTCCGTGATCAGAGGAAATGTTACTTGGCGCAGAACAGTGGTGAAAATTGGAAGTTCAGTTTAATATAATACAACTCTGTGAATAGTTCCGTCTGAAATGAATGAAAATAGTTGTTTTAATAGTTAATGAGTCAGATATGTGGCGGTAATGTTTGGTTTATCTAAAGGTTTTTATCTGTTACTGTGTAAATGAGTTTGGCTGTAATTTAAGGACAGATTCTAATTAATCTGCAGAGTGGGAACTATAAATCTGATAGGAGTTAAATTTTTTTATTGTTGTTTTGCACAATATGCTTAACTAAGTATTTTTGGTTGTTGAATATTAGAGATTTTGCAGATATATTTTGTAGATACATTGTTTAGATTTACTTATATCTTTCTACCCCTTTTATAGAATAGAATAGAAAATCCCTTTATTGTCCCACAATGGGCAAATTTACAGCAGCAGAAAGATTATTGAAAATGGTCACACAAATGAGGACCTTAGAAAAATGTATAAGAATAACATAATAAGGAAGAGTTAAAATATAAAAAATAAAATTCTGTAAAGTGTTTTAACAATATAAAACTGGAGAATTAATAACCAATATGCAGCTATGGACATTTTTACAATAATGGATATTTGAAAATAGCAGCAACATCAGAGATGTGCAGAATGACAGCAGCAGGTTATTTAAATGACTAAGGTTTCTATCATTACATTTGATTTTATTTGTTCCTGCTACTGGTGGTTGGAATCTTTATTCCACTCTGGATTCTTGTGAGTGTAGTCTTTTTTCACTTTAACTTTTTTTTTTAATAAATAAATAAACAGTTTTGAAAACCTCGGTATTCATTCTTTTCCTGCTTTGTGTGTCAACTTTCACGGTTGCTAAGCAACAGAGCATACGTCGGTAAAACCCGCCAAAGGGTAGACCTGTTCGAATTTACAGCCAAAACTCATCCGGCCTCCTTATTTTCAAGGACTTCGAAGGATCCAGTCTAGGTAGACCGTGTCCTTGGAGGATGCATCCTAGGTTTTTGAACAGAGCCTCTGATTAAGAACAGGGCTGCCCGCACTGACGCGGCTCAGGGATTACGTCACACGGAGCGTCGTGCGCAGGGAAATCAGGACATTTCCTCACTTTCTAAAAAAAACCCGGGACGCCCGGGACAGGACGTGAAATACGGATATGTCCCGGGAAATACGGACGTTTGGTCACCCTAGCTAAATGTAAACCTTAAAAAAAAAATATTTTATTTATTTTTTATTTGTTCATAGTATGCCCTGTACACTGTGCTGGATGCGCCCTATGACTTCTCCATTGTAAGTACAGCTACTTGGTGATATCAAACAGAAATCTGTGGATGCTGTTTAGTGATATTGTGTTTATTACTCTGCATTTTTCAGAAAGACATGCCAAACTTGAGAAACTGGTGGTGCGTCATGTTAATGGAGAATCTGGAACTTGGCAGGTGAGAACAAAAGCTCTTCTTGGTTAGGTGGAATCATCCCTTTGATTCTATTGTTTATCATCTTTTACCTCCCCACCACCTCTTTCCCAGTTATGGAAAAATGTTTGCCCATTGGACGGAGTCCTCCAAGGCCCTTTTACGAGGTGATGTGTCTCCAGTTTATAGACCGAAGAAGAGGACACTGGATGACATCACCAAGGTTGGTAATGTGTGTGTGTGTGTGGTAAATTAACTACATGGAATTTTCTGATAAATTTTTATTCATATTTTCCCCTTAGGACCAAGTCCAGCTTTAAACTACACAGGCTGACTTATTCCATACCGAAAAGGTCAAAATGGTAAGTCTTTTTTTAATGTACCGTATTTTCACGACCATAAGGCGCACCGTACTAAAAGGCGCAGTCTCCGTTATGTGTGCCATTTCTGTATTTAACACACACATAAGGCGCACCGGAGTATAGGGCGCATTTTTTATATACAGGTACATGTCCTCTACTACCTTTAAATACCTCTACTGCGTATTTAAAAATACAGCGGGAGCAAAACTGAGTATGATTGTGCTTTATTCATGTATTTATTACAAAGTATTAATCAAACCTGGGAGCTGGCCATGAGACAGACACATCGCAGATGACACAGCGCTGTGATCACTCCTAAATTAACTTAAAATCCTGAAACCTGCCGACGGAATATGTTCGCTTTCATTACCGGTATCCTGCTGCCTGCAGTTTAAATTATTTAGATGAAAAACACCTGTCAGCCGCCGCGGTGAACCCGGAGGCTACCCGGCCTAGAGGCTGCAGTTGAAGGGATTTCTACTGTCGGTGTACCGCTGGTATGTGGGGGTTTGAGCGCCTCCGACCGAAATAGATAATCTGGATGAACTGACTGCAATGATTAAGTTTTCAGGTGGACTTTCTCACTTAAAAACATATAAAAACTACTTTTCCCAATGATCACAGCAAATATAGCTGCAAGATTTAGATTATTTAGATGAAAAAACACCTGCCAGCCGCCGCGGTGAACCCGGAGTCGACCCGGCCCAGAGGCTGCTGTTGAATTAAGTTTTCAGGTAGAAAAAATAGAGCGGGAGCAAAACTGAGTATGATTGTGCTTTATTCAAGTATTTATTACAAAGTATTAATCAAACCCATTAAAGTCATCATCCTCTGTTTCTGAAATAAACAGCTGCACTAATTCAGACATGCCCATTTCCCCTTCTTGGCTGTCAGAGTCACTTTCCGTGCCGGACGGCTCCTCGGAAATGATTTTGCGAAAGCTCGAACAACAGTGCCAGCAGACACGTTAGTCCAAGGATCAACAATACATCCGCAAACGGTATATATATATATATATATATATATATATATATATATATATATATATATATATATATATATATATATATATATATATATATATATATATATATATATGTATAGGAGACAGAGAACATGAGCTATGGGGATCATCAAACCTCCACTGGTTCAACTACGTTTTTTCTCATTGCACTAATAACACTTTTAATAAGACATTTTTCTGTTAATTTAATTTTAACAGCAGTTGCTCCATGGCTGTAGAAAGCATTATAGGAAAAGCTTGGTCATATGCAGGAAAACATACAGAAAACAAGTCAGACCGACAAATTTTCTGGAAGACAAGTGTCCCCTTTATTGTCATTTTATTAGTACAATATAAAACGTTTTTACATGACAGAATGCATGGCGATGGATCAAAAACAATGAAGTAGGCTACATTTATGATTATATTCTCAGAAAAAAAATAAATAAATAAATGGGCTTGGTTGGAGACAAGACAGAATATAAAGGGAAAAGTCGGACTGCCTCTGCCAGATTTGAACCTGCCACGAAGCAAAACATTTGCATTGAAGGTGGTTACTTAACCCCCTACGCCACCTCCCAGTAATAATAATTGCTGAAACATTCCTAGTAATACTTGTAAATACAAAACATTGGTTGCATGTTGATGCAAAACGTTTTTCACATGAAAATAGGCATGGAATGGATTCAAAATAAGAGCGAAGTGTATGTAGTGGATATATTCCTAACATTAAGGCTTTGTGAAACGGCAATGCAGTGAATTTTGGCACTGTACTACAGAAATGAATTGACAAAACTTTGTAATCCTCTAAAGACTTCCTTCCTAGCTTTTCTTGGAATTTCAAAGAGTAATATGTTCTTTTTCAGTGGTTACATTGATGATATGGATCTTTTCCACTGCTCCTTTAGACGTGTTTTGAAGTGTATCCTGCGCTATGTAACCTCAAGGTTTGGTTTTTGTGGTTGTTGTGGCCGAGAGGTCAAGGCGATGGACTTGAAATCCATTGGGGTCTCCCCGCGTAGGTTCGAATCCTACCAGCAACGCTAGTTCCTTTCTCTATTGGCAGTGTTTGTTGACTCACTGACAACAGCAGTCAATGCATGCTGCTCATGACTTTTAGGAGACAGAAAGCATGTAAAGACTCATGCTTTTATGGTAATCTCAACCCAATGTGTGGGTAGAAAACATTTCTGCGATCAGTTCCAGTATTCATATTGGGCCCAATATCCTTGCTTCAATTTTAAAAAACTGTTTTTCAAATGAGAACTGAAGTTGCAGTCAACCAACAGACTGAGACAATAGAGCATTATATTTGATGATGGGTGTGAAAAGGTAACTGATTTCCACATTCTTTACTGTTAAGTATCGTTCACCTGGCTTTAAGTCTAAGACATTGTGTCTAAGACCTTTCAAACAGCTGCTTGAGTGGAATAAAAATGACGGTGGAAACTCTAAATGTTTCCTTACTTCATGGCTAACACTGAAATTATGTGTACTGTTGAAGTATAACGACAAAGGCGATGGGACAGCCTTTAGACTTCTCTTTTGGCTTAACTTGGCATGCCGTCAAATCCTACACAATTCCTAATGATATTTGAGAGGAATACTGATGTCAAAAAGATCTCCAAATACTTCCTATCATACTGGCTTACACAAACATTTACTGTACTACAGAAATGAATTGACAAAACTTTGTAATCCTCTAAAGACTTCCTTCCTAGCTTTTCTTGGAATTTCAAAGAGTAATATGTTCTTTTTCAGTGGTTACATTGATGATATGGATCTTTTCCACTGCTCCTTTAGACGTGTTTTGAAGTGTATCCTGCGCTATGTAACCTCAAGGTTTGGTTTTTGTGGTTGTTGTGGCCGAGAGGTCAAGGCGATGGACTTGAAATCCATTGGGGTCTCCCCGCGTAGGTTCGAATCCTACCAGCAACGCTAGTTCCTTTCTCTATTGGCAGTGTTTGTTGACACACTGACAACAGCAGTCAATGCATGCTGCTCATGACTTTTAGGAGACAGAAAGCATGTAAAGACTCATGCTTTTATGGTAATCTCAACCCAATGTGTGGGTAGAAAACATTTCTGCGATCAGTTCCAGTATTCATATTGGGCCCAATATCCTTGCTTCAATTTTAAAAAACTGTTTTTCAAATGAGAACTGAAGTTGCAGTCAACCAACAGACTGAGACAATAGAGCATTATATTTGATGATGGGTGTGAAAAGGTAACTGATTTCCACATTCTTTACTGTTAAGTATCGTTCACCTGGCTTTAAGTCTAAGACATTGTGTCTAAGACCTTTCAAACAGCTGCTTGAGTGGAATAAAAATGACGGTGGAAACTCTAAATGTTTCCTTACTTCATGGCTAACACTGAAATTATGTGTACTGTTGAAGTATAACGACAAAGACGATGGGACAGCCTTTAGACTTCTCTTTTGGCTTAACTTGGCATGCCGTCAAATCCTACACAATTCCTAATGATATTTGAGAGGAATACTGATGTCAAAAAGATCTCCAAATACTTCCTATCATACTGGCTTACACAAACATTTACTGTACTACAGAAAGGAATTGACAAAACTTTGTAATCCTCTAAAGACTTCCTTCCTAGCTTTTCTTGGAATTTCAAAGAGTAATATGTTCTTTTTCAGTGGTTACATTGATGATATGGATCTTTTCCACTGCTCCTTTAGACGTGTTTTGAAGTGTATCCTGCGCTATGTAACCTCAAGGTTTGGTTTTTGTGGTTGTTGTGGCCGAGAGGTCAAGGCGATGGACTTGAAATCCATTGGGGTCTCCCCGCGTAGGTTCGAATCCTACCAGCAACGCTAGTTCCTTTCTCTATTGGCAGTGTTTGTTGACTCACTGACAACAGCAGTCAATGCATGCTGCTCATGACTTTTAGGAGACAGAAAGCATGTAAAGACTCATGCTTTTATGGTAATCTCAACCCAATGTGTGGGTAGAAAACATTTCTGCGATCAGTTCCAGTATTCATATTGGGCCCAATATCCTTGCTTCAATTTTAAAAAACTGTTTTTCAAATGAGAACTGAAGTTGCAGTCAACCAACAGACTGAGACAATAGAGCATTATATTTGATGATGGGTGTGAAAAGGTAACTGATTTCCACATTCTTTACTGTTAAGTATCGTTCACCTGGCTTTAAGTCTAAGACATTGTGTCTAAGACCTTTCAAACAGCTGCTTGAGTGGAATAAAAATGACGGTGGAAACTCTAAATGTTTCCTTACTTCATGGCTAACACTGAAATTATGTGTACTGTTGAAGTATAACGACAAAGGCGATGGGACAGCCTTTAGACTTCTCTTTTGGCTTAACTTGGCATGCCGTCAAATCCTACACAATTCCTAATGATATTTGAGAGGAATACTGATGTCAAAAAGTGTATTTCTGTAAAAAAGATATAATGCTACCCATTTGGTGATGACGAGAGACACACGTCTAACTTGACGAGCATATTGCCAAGCTTTACATCACATTGTTGATTATCAGACATGTCGTGAAAACCCTACTGAAAACGTCAGCAACATATCCCTGATTGTCTAGTGGTCAGGATTCAGCGCTTTCACTGCTGCGGCCCGGGTTCGATTCCCGGTCAGGGAATTTATATTGGGTCACCAACTTGTGGCTTGATGTAGAGCTTCAGTACTATACACTAAAGCCCCATTTACACTACCCTTGAAAAACCGATCCAGGCCGAGACCGATCCAAGCTCGGACCGGTCTCGGCCTGGATCGGTAACCAGGCCAAGCTCAGTTTTGACGAC